GAGCCGGGCAAGAAGAAGCAGCACGTGTGCCACGTGCCGGGCTGCGGCAAGGTGTACGGGAAGACGTCGCACCTGAAGGCGCACCTGCGCTGGCACACGGGCGAGCGGCCCTTCGTGTGCAACTGGCTCTTTTGCGGGAAGAGCTTCACGCGCTCGGACGAGCTGCAGCGGCACCTGCGGACTCACACGGGCGAGAAGCGCTTCGCCTGTCCCGAGTGCGGCAAGCGCTTCATGCGCAGCGACCACCTCGCCAAGCACGTGAAGACGCACCAGAATAAGAAGCTCAAAGTCGCTGAGGCCGGGGTTAAGCGGGAGGACCCGCGGGACCTGTGAGCCCTCCCGGAGGTGGACCCCCTTCCCAGTACCTCTGCGGGAGATCCGGGGACCTGTGGGCAGCTGGCGGAGGGGACACTCAGCAGACGGACCCTCCCTGTTGCCTGCCTCCCAAAATGGAGCCAGGCTCCCAGCTTCCCCTACCCTCGGACACAGGGACCTAGTTCCCAGGAGCGGGGAGGTAGGGTTGGTGCTGGGGCATTTGGGTTATAATTGGGAGCTCTGCCTTACCCCAGGGCAGTTCCAAACTCTAAACCGTTCCCACCGTCTGGGAGACCTACAGTTTTGGGGGACCACCCTGGGCTGGCCTTGTATATAGGAAATGCTGCTGAAATGAAGCGAAAGGAACTTGGGAGATTTGAAATAGTGCTCGGGTTTTCGCTAGGACCGGTTTGGGCTTTGTACAGGTTATTTAATAGCTTTGTTAAAAATAATTATAATAATTATAACATTAATGAAAACGTTGCTTTTGTCTTCAGCTCCATGCAGAGCTACAGCATGATATGTCTCTGTAAAGTGATCAGCAGTTGCACCGTGAAAATAAATACGTTAACTCAGGGGTCACTACAGGAAGACCCCGCTGAGCCGGTCTCATTTGATCTTTTCTTCTTCTGGGAGGCTGTACTAAGGGGTAGGGTTTCACCGGGAATTTGATGGTTCCTATAGTCTGCCTATGTCGGAGGTTTCTTTGGTTTGGAAGAATCTGGGCAAATGTGTTGGGTTCAGGAATGGAAAAAGGCAGGCAATTCCGTTTTGTGGTAAAGAGGTAGGGCAAGATTTTTCAATCACAACTTGAGTTTCTCATGCGGCCTTAGGACTTCACCCGAGACTGTTTCCCTTCCAAGTTTGCTTTTACCTGACGAATTCCTTGTGGCTTTCCATTTGTTGGTACTCTCGGGACAGGTTACAACTATGCTGGTGTTAAGAGAGGTATTAGAGGCGCGAGGGTCTGTTCACAGGTGAGACTTTGGGGAGAGGTACAGAGAAAAGGGACCCTTGTTCAGGTTGGTCTTTGCCTGGGAAAAAACCAAGAAGATAGTTTGCCAGACGTCACTCCTGTATTTCAGTCCCGTCACGATACCCAGCGTTGTCTTGCTTGTTTTCTTCTTAATCTTGCTGTGGAAATCTTAACAAGTCTTATTTCACAGTAACAACCCAGGGATTTCTGGTTAGGCCAGGACGTTTAGTTCCATTTTGTATCTGAATTTTTTTATGTTTTAAATCATTGAAGTAGATTTTCTCAGGGAAGAACCAGGAATACTCATGGTTTGGAAATGTGGAAATAGGGTATTTTTTTGTCTAGGTGCCTCGCGAGCTTTCTCTAAAAGTTGAAGTTTTGAAGTTTACAAATATTTTATCAAGTGTCTAACTCCTTGATATTTTCTAATATTTGAGTTTTTAAACCTGTAACTGCACGTTTAATCAGCAGTTAAATCTTCTGATTTAAGATTAGCAAAGAATAGAAAATGTTCTAAATTTTATTAACATGTTAAGCTAGCATCATTAATGCCGAATTTTAATAGAGCCGAATAATCTTTTCATGATAGTAGAAGTGTCTACAAATTGATAGGATTTCACAGTTTACAAACTGCTTTTACCTTGCCTTTTGTTTGAAGTCAAACTGAAGGATCAGTTCTTAAAAGCTTTGAGGGTTGTTCTTGAATTCTTACATGAAGTAAAATACAAACATCAACATAATTCGGGTGAAAATTACTTTTATACTCCTAAGAAATAGCATTTTTTTATTCTGTAACTTGGGACAAGGTAGTAAATGAGTATTAGATTCATAGTGGCAATATGCCATAGAATAACGGATATTGGCACTTTTTAATGACTAATTAGAATGTGAGTCTTCATGGTTCTTCACCTGGTAAGAGGAGTTTGGGTTAAATCTTCAAGCGTGTGGCAGTTTTGCAAGCAATAGTGATGAAGTTGCTAGGCAGTAACATTAATATACACCTAAATATGTAATCTTAATCAAAATCATTAGATCTAAGTCATTATATTAAGATTACACATTTTGATGTATAAATCAATGTGAAAAGTTACAGAAACTCTCACCTTTCCCTAAAAAGTTACAGAAACTCCCATCTGAACCATACCCCAGGATTAACTATAGATTCAGAAAAGGATTTTTGAAAAGTTTTGGGAAAGAGGAATCCTTGTTAGAGAGTGAAAAGACCAAGGGCTTTGGTCTTTTTGAAATGATTTGAAATGATTCTTTCATCTAAAAGAATGACCTTGATAGAGAAAGAAAAATAGCAATTTAAAAATGAGTCTACTAGCTATTATTGACAGAGCCAATCATTTATTTAGTATCCAAACAGAAGAAGTGTTGAAGATAAAGTTTTCTTATAAATTTTTTGGTTAAGCATATGGAATTTAATATCTAAAGAAATGAGATATTGGAGATAGATAACTGTGGTTATTAAGAGGAAAAACTAGATAAACTATATACAATTTTTTAAAGCAGAACAAAGTTATATGACAAAATAACTTTCTTATGGTATTACTTAATTGCACCTGCAAATTGAAAAAGTATGGTCTTTAACTTGGTACAACTGAAAGGCTTGCTGATTTTACACTGCAAATCTGATAGAATTTGTAACATTTAAAAAGTAGGCAGCATTTAAAAAGTAAGTTTAATCCACCAACTTTATTCAAGGTTTCACTTAAAGATCCCAGCACACAATTCAATTAAGTTTAAAAAACTAATTGAAGAAAATATGTTAATGATTGCCTCAAATGTCAGTAGACATTGTAGATTTTAAAGCAACTATTTTGTTAGCATGCAAATATAATGTAGAGTGTTACATTCTTTAAAAATACTAAAATTCGTGTGATGTTACTTTAATTTTAACAGTTTTTGGACCATTTTGAGCAAGAGCATGGAAACATGGAGAAATTGAAATATCAGTAAATTAGAAATTAGTAAATTGAAATATCAGTTAATTTAGAATTGTGCATTTCTGAATTTATTAACACTGTAGTTTTCTGCTTTTCTCAAGAAAAAATTGTGTAATAATACCCTTAACTGATCACTAGTTTTAAATAGTTCTGATAATGAATGAAAGTAAATAATGTTAAAGAAAATACAACTGTAATCTCCATGTTATTTTCTAGTTTCAACTAGTGTTTAAATCTTGTGACTATATTATATTTTCTTTTTTTTTGAAATGGAGTCTCGCTCTGTCGCCAGGCTACAGTGCAGTGGCACCATCTCAGCTAACTGCAACCTCTGCCTCCTGGGTTCAAGCAGTTCTCCTGCCTCAGCCTCCTAAGTACCTGGGACTACAGGTGCGTGCCACCACACCCGGCTAATTTTTGTATGTTTAGTAGAGACGGGGTTTTACCATGTTGGCCAGGATGGTCTCGATCTCCTGACCTTATGATCTGCCCACCTTGGCCTCCCAAAGTGCTGGGATTACAGGCGTGAGCCACTGTGCCCTGCCTTATATTGTATATTCTTTTAAATTATTTTACCTTAATCAAATAAGACATGCCAATTAAAAAATTAATCTTGCCAAGAATGCCTCTTGCAGAAACCTATTTGAAACAATGACATTTGTAGAAAAGTCAGGTTTTTTTTACCCCAAGATTGTACTATTTTCTATTCTAATATTGTGGGGTTTTAAGTATTAGTTTAAAGCAACATCGTCAGTGTTTTCTATTTATTTCATTTCTGCTATGACTGTTTCACAGAATGTTTTTATAGCTGTAGCTATGACTTCAAATTCATGTAAACATCTAGTAAGTTGTTTGGTACTCTAAAATTGCAAGCCACTTTACTTGCATTAGCTCATCACATTAAATAATGACAAGTCAAGGTAAGTTGACCATTCTCACTGGGAAATAGCCTGTGTTATAGAATCAGATTCAAACCTTAAGCTTTGTGTTATAGTAAGTGCAATTATAGTTTGCTAATGTCCCAAATTGAGGGCCACTCAAAACAAGTGATATTAATTTTCTGTTAAATATCATGACCTTCTTCTGGTTTGCATGATAGAGAGAACTTTAAAAGAGTAAGAGACCCAGGGCAGTTTTGAAATGTTATGCACCAACATAGTTCAATAGAGTAGGAAAAAATAAGGAAAATAGATAAGATGTATGTTGGTAATGAGATATATGTTTAGATTAATACAACAAAAAAACATGTTTCATTATTGGACCACTATAATGGTAACCTGATTAGTGTGGCATGTGATTTATTTAATATAGACACTAAATTTTTCTCTGATGTTGTTCAGACTCAACACATTTTTGTATAAAGATCTTGATGTTCGTTGCTCCTTCCTTGATTATTTTTAAAGAATCTGATATGTTGCCAGAGACAGCAGTGTTTCAGATTAATTTATGGACATTGTAGAATAATTTAATGTTCCTGACTATAATGAACAAGTGGTATTTGTTCAACAAAGATGTAATCAAACAGCTATGGACTGATAATTTCTCAGTTGTTTTGCTATTACAACTTATTACCAATTGAAGATTTGTACATGAAGATTGATATAGTTTCATGCTGACATTTTGATGACTTCCCTTTCTAGACCTTATGTACTTTTCTTTCCGTGTCTTCAGCAATTATCTGAAGTATAATCCTCCACTGGATATTTGAGACTTAATTCATAAATCAACCCATGCATATGAACTATAGTAGTATCTGCACAACACATAATAACCCACATTAACTAATATATTTTGGTTGTCTACCTAATACCAAAATTTAATTCAGGGTAAATAAACCCAGCTCTCAGTTTGATACCACCAGGAAAATCTGCAGCTTTCCCTTTTTAAAAAGTTGTTTCGGCAGTATGAAGATTCATTATGCCTATTTTGAAATGGAAGTTTGTTTAACAGTAAAACTATTCATCTAATATTTTCATTACTTGTCAAAATTCTGACATCAAAATACACTAAAATTTTCTAAAGTCTAAGGCAGTGTCTTCATGTCATCTGATTTTTTCATATAGTTAAACCAGTCATATATGGGTGCTTT